CAAAGCAATGGTTCACGGCAACCTAAGGCTGAAAAGTGCATAAAATTGTGCACGAAAAATAATGCCTTACTTTAGCTCGCACTTGGAAGACATATTCGTTTGGATTGTGTTCCAAATTGAAAACCAGATAGCAGTGCCGATTGCAACCGTCCTTGGGACAGAGCAGCTCAATAGCCCTGGCCTCGTTCTCTTCGATCCAGATTGCATCGTGTTCCTTGAGCCTCAGATACCTGACCTGATAATGCGATGCTTTATTCAGTTCCACAGGTTCCCAGGTTAACGACAGTGCATAGTTGGTTCGATCGCACCATACCAAATTTCGCACCATAAACCATCCTGGTGGCAAAGTGGCGTATGAACCCCATGCTGCTTCACCGCCACATCGCGGTTGCAAGGTAACATTGTAGACAGTCGATGGGTCCAAGTTTTCAATTGTGTATCTTCTACTGCTACCTTCAACTTCCGCGGAACGAATTGAATTGATACGAACGTGAGGAAATGCAGAGTGAAGAGTTTTCCAGGAAAGCTGCAATAAGTGAATCTAGTTAGAAACATGTGACTAACCACTTGTCCATCATTCACTGGTACTCGTGGGCAAGGACAAAAGAACATGTATTGGTAAGAACAGATATTTTCCATTTCAACAGCGATGTTGCCTCATCTAAATGTTGCTTGCGGCTTGTGTTATTGGCACGATTACCAAAGAACGCCAAGATCGCCTGGGCTAACAGTGCAGGTATCCCATGCTAGTGATATTACTGGGATGTTCCAACAAGCCAGTCGCAACTATGCCAGAATTTTCGATCCTGGGCCGTATGCCATGAGTGTCTTCACCTCAAAAAGAACTGTGAACAAAGAAAAGACCCTTTTCCTAGTCCAAGATATTAAATCCATAACTGCTCAGAACAAAAAAAACCCACGAGATTTTTGATAAATTCAAGAAAAACGGAACTGATTTTCCAAAGGGAGCAAGGAAGTAAACCCTAAACTGGAACGCACCACGCTTGCTGGTGCGGTCGTGCGTTTATGCACTAAACTCAAAGCAGTCAGGATTTTCGCCAAAACCTTCGCGCGCCCTTACATGAGAATCACGCATAACTAGGGGCTAAATTTGAAATTTTTAAGTTATACTTGGGCAAGTGTTCTGTTTCCAAAATCTCACCCCTTCGGCCTTTCTGATTCACGAGTTAGCAATTTCCCCGCCAAAAATTTCACATGGTCGTGCACGGTGCCCAAACGAGCCTGAAAGTCTTGGGTGGCACTTGCCCGGGGAATCCCGTGGCAAAATTTATCGCTGAGGCTTGCTTGTTGAGTTGAAATACCCAAACAGGCACACACACACACACACATACACACACACACACACAAACACACATAGCACAAACATACACTCATACCATGAGCCGTAACAATTTGCGTTTTTGCATTTGCATACATTCAACCCAGGCTGGAACGCACCAGGCGAGCCGGAGCGATCATGCGTTTTTGCACAAAACTTG